TAAAAATCGCCATCACTTCAGCTCCCCACTAAAATTCGCCTTCTTGATTTTCTGATTCAACTCCACGTTCAAAGCAGCTTTAATTCTGAGTAGTTAAAGTTCACGTTTCAATCAGGAATTATTCGATCTATTTTTCTCACTGAGAGAAACACAGAAATGAAGTTGCTTCTTTTCTGTCTTTTTACGTGTCTTTTCTTTCAACCCAGAAAAGAAGTTACTTCATTTCTGTTTTTTTTTTGATAATTTGTCTTTTTTCTTTTATAGTTGATGATCTAAATAAATAATTTTCACGTGAACATGTATAAATTAATAAGAAATAAGTAAAAATCGTAATGAACGTAGAATTAACGAGATTCCGACATCTCTGCTTTTCTCATCGAAATTCAACACAGTTGACACTTTTCTATATTTTTAGTAGTGAGATCTGTCTAATTGCCACAGAATTGTATATTTTTTTTCAAAAAAATCAACGATTTGAAAAAATTTGTAATATTTTTGTTCTTATATGATAGAACTTGACGAGTGCTACACAGAATATTATTCAAAAAGCTGTACCTTGCCTATGAACAAAGTTATAAACCATAAAGTTTCTGATTCGGTTCCGGGCCGGGCCCAGCCTGTTTTTTCGGCCCGTTTCGTCTCCGATTTTTTAATAGACAAGATAAAGTTAATATAATAGCATCATTTTGTAATAATCGTTGAGTTCTATCATATCTGATTTAGTATGTCCAAAAATATTAATTCTAAAAGAAACTATGACAAGGCCCGCGAAGAGTCGTCAGTGACTAATTTACAAGTAGGAATTACATTAATTATACTAAAGTTTATTCAGAGTTTCTTAAATTTCAGAATTTTTAACCCTCAACAATTTTGATTTTAGATCCGTCACTACTGTAACAGCGAAAAAGGAGACATCTTCCAACTCCCAGAATTCAGCACCTTCGTTCCAAACACCTACGACATCGGAACAATCGTTTTAGACAAAGAGACGCGTGGAACCAAAACCACCCAAAAAACTGATCCTACTCAATAATTTATTTTATCCCCCCATACTTTGCCATTCATTACTATTCATTCCCAAATCGGATCTAAAAATTCAAATCTTGTTTGACTTTCCATCATCTCCATATCTTACCATCTCCATATCTTCCATCTCTATTTGTACAGTTGGAATTATGAAACTATTCCCCTAAATTCTCACTGTAAATCGTTCCATCTTCAACCATTCTTTGTCTCTTGCCTTTCTACTTTTTGTGATTTCGTTGCTCTCTTGCATAACATTTTCGATTTTTTAAATTTCGATTTTTCTTTTCAGTTCAGCTTTGTTTGGTATTTAACCAAAGTAACATCTATCTACTAACCACTTGACGCCAGTATTTGTATATGGTTTTTTTGGGAAAAGTATACATTTTGCTTCTTTGCTTCTAACAATTAATGCGCTTGAATAGTATACGAATAGTATACAAGGAAATAGATTTTAAAATAGCAAGACCGAAAAACTCAAATAGAAGGCTGAACTGCCACCTTGGAGCCTATATATCTCGATTCTTGTAAAAGATTCCAGAAAGAGTCAACTGACAAAATATTTATCGTAATATCAAAAATATTTTGTCAGTTGACTACTTTTTGATATCTTTAAGAGACCGAGATATATGGCCTCAAAGTGTATACAGTATACATTCTTTGCTTCTAACAATTATTGCGTTCGCATAGTACAAGACAAGGAACTAGATTTTAAAATAGTTTGCCAAATTAACTGCATCAGCATTGAGCACAAAAAATGAGATCCAAGTTCATATTGCCCACACGTACGACTTATGACCAATTGAGACCGTCCCTCTGCGAATCGAATGCCTCAAAAAAGTAGAAAAAGATCAGTGCCAAATTGAGAGATGAAGAACACTTTCGAAAATCCGGATTAGCCGCCAGGGTGTTGGTTTGTAGCCTTTTTGATGAGAAGAGAATACAGAGAAACATAGAAACAGATCCCAATAGATTTTCAATTCATTTTTGATTCGGTTCTTCCCCCTTCCCCCTCTTGATTCAATATATTTTGGGATATTGTTTGTTGAGCTTCCATTATTTTTTTCGAGTCTTTGAAACCATACGCATCTGAAACTGCTACCTTGTTTTATTTCTCGTCTTTATTGTTTTTTAATCGTAATTTGCTTCGGCACGTTCATCTTATCTAAAAACGCAAGGGATTCGAATTTAGATTGGCAGCGAAAAAATCGGATACGATAGACAGATAGAGAACTATAAAAAGAATTATGCGCTTGATCTTCCGGCCGTTGTTGCGTTTTAAAAATTGTCCAGAAACCAGATGGATGAATTAATAGCTTCCTTCATGTTGCCTCATTTGGACCTATTTTTCAAATTTCAATACATTTTTAAAAACCGTAAATAATAGAACGCCACACAGACTGTTAACTTCGAGCCCATATATCTCAGCTCCTGTAAAAGATATCAAAAAGTAGTCAATTGGCAAAACAATTGTGATATTATGGAAAACATTTTGTCACTTGACCACTTTTTGATATCTTTCAGAGGAACCGAGATATATCGGCTGAAACTTGGCATTTTGAGTGACCTTCTATTAGAGTGTTTACAGTAATTGAAACACTCCCACGGTAGCAACTTTGACCTAATTTATATTAGTTCCAGCTAAAAATCTAGATAATATTTGTTATCTTTCACAAGATACCAAGGGGCGACAATAAGTTGACAGTAGTGGAGCCTTTCTATTAGAGGTCGTACAGTATAACTACGGAGCTACAGTAATCAGAGATCTCATGCTTAAATAAAAGCTTTGTCTGATTTTGCAGAAATAGAATGTGATCAACGATTCTTAGCTTAAGTTTATACTTCCAGTAAACATCTTCAGAATCCCACGCATTTTGCAGCGATTTCAATAAGCCTAGCTATCAAAAATTAGTAGTTTCATACCGGAATTCGCATATTTACTAACTTAAAAACTGCTCACTGATCACCGATTTCTGCCTACTTCATTTCCATGTTAACTCTCAATTAACTGCCCACACTTTCTCACATGCTCCACCATTTTATTCGTAATTATAGACTGATGCCAACCAGTATAAAAATGCTCACTCAACGGGATGAGAATAACGAAGGCGACACGATGCCAATTCTCAAGAAACCGAGATATTCTGTAAGTTTTAATGCTATTTTTTCTATTTTTTAAAATCTGAATTCTAATTTTTTCAGAGTCTCTCTGGACAATCAACTAACATCACCTACCAGGAGCACACGATTAGCCGGGAGGAGCGAGCTGCTGCTGTTGGAAAACATGAAGGTTTTCGTGGATGCACCATCTGGTTCACAGGACTCTCTGGCGCTGGGAAAACCACAATCTCGTTTGCATTGGAGCGTACTCTCAATAAGGTAACCGATAGGATCTTTACAGAATTCAATAGTTGTGACAATTTTCAGTTGGGAATCCCGTGTTACGGACTAGATGGAGATAACATTCGTCATGGATTGTGTAAAAATCTTGGATTTTCCAAAGAAGATCGTCAGGAAAACATTCGTCGTGTGGCCGAGGTTGCCAAATTGTTCGCAGATTCTGGAATGATCTGCCTCGCTGCATTCATCTCACCATTTCAAGAAGATCGTCTCGACGCACGGAAGATTCACGAATCGGAGAACGTGAAATACATCGAGGTTCATGTGAATACAAGTCTCGAAGTTTGTGAGCAGAGAGACCCAAAACGTTAGTTTTAGTCAATCAATACGTTTCAAAGCATTTTTTCAAAGTTTCAGAATTGTACAAAAAAGCACGGGCTGGCCAGATCCGCGGATTCACTGGAATCGATAGTGCCTATGAGCCACCAGAGAATGCTGAAATAGTCTTGGATGCTGGAAAGGACGGAGTCCAAGAATGTGTTCAGAAAGTGCTGGATTATCTTGAGTCGGTTGGATTGCTTCCTGAGCAGATCCCAGAAGTTCCACCTGTCCGAGAACTCTTTGTAAATGACGATTTGGCTGTTGCTGAGCTGCTAAAAGAGAGCCAGGATATGAAATTTGTGGAGCTGTCGAAAGTCGATTTGCAATGGCTTCAAGTTCTTGCCGAAGGATGGGCAACCCCGTTGACAGGATTCATGCGGGAGAGACAATATCTTCAATGTATGCACTTTGGTCAACTACTCGATTTGAAGAACAAGGTGGCATTCGTTGGAGAAAAAGATGATGGAAAGGAAGATTCGTGGCCGTTGATGGAGGAAATTAATCAGTCGATTCCTATCGTTCTCCCAATCTCCGATGAAATCAAAGCTTCTTTGGATGGTGTCAAAAGAATTGCATTGAAATATAACGGTCAAATCTTTGCAATTCTTTCGGATCCTGAAATTTTCGAGCATCGTAAAGACGAGCGTGTCTGCAGACAGTTCGGTACCAATGATCCACGCCATCCAGCTGTTGCACAAGTTCTGGAATCTGGAAATTGGTTGTTGGGTGGAGACGTGGCAGTAGTTCAGAAAATTCAATTCAACGATGGACTCGACAAGTACCGTAAGACTCCAAACGAACTCCGTGCAATATTCCAAGAGAAGAACGCTGATGCAGTTTTCGCATTCCAACTTCGGAATCCAATTCATAACGGGCACGCTCTCTTGATGAGAGATACTCGTGAGAAGCTTCTCGCCAAACATAAGAATCCAATTCTTCTATTGCATCCGTTGGGAGGATGGACAAAAGATGATGATGTTCCATTAGATGTTAGAATAAAACAACACGAGGCTGTGATTGCTGAAAGAGTTCTCGATTCAGAATGGACTGTTCTCTCCATCTTCCCGTCTCCTATGATGTATGCAGGACCAACAGAAGTTCAATGGCATGCACGGTAAGAATTTTAACCAGAAGCATCCTCCCATAAATAAAATTTAGGTCTCGCATCGCCGCTGGAATCCAACATTACATTGTTGGCCGTGATCCAGCTGGTATTCAGAAACCAGGAAGTCCAGATGCTCTTTACGAAACTACACATGGAGCTAAGGTTCTATCAATGGCTCCAGGACTTTCGGCTCTTCACATTCTTCCATTCCGAGTTGCAGCATACGATAAAACATCCAAGAAAATGACATTTTTCGATCCATCCAGAAAAGAGGATTTCGAAAATATCAGTGGAACTAAGATGCGTGGATTGGCTAGGTAGACTTCAGAATATGATTAGGAAACTTGAAAATCTCAATTCTTCAGAAGCGGTGAAACGCCTCCAGATGGATTTATGGCACCGACAGCATGGGAAGTTCTGGCTAGCTACTACAAATCACTTCAAAATTCAAACTGAGCAATCAATTGTACAGCAGAGCTTTTGAGAAATACTAAATTACTAATTCAATTTTCTGTGAATATACTAATCTATGTCATGATCATAATTCCGATCAACACAAATTCCATACAAATAAATAATTACATATCTTTTATACAGAAGAGAGGATATCAAATTTACTTAAAAGAATGATTACAGCTAAAATATAAAAGTATTCAATAATTAGAAGGATTAATGTTAAAAACATGAAAAGTGAAAAGGATTACTGTAGGGAAAATATTCGAAAATGAAAAGGATGACTGTAGGGGAAAATAATCAAAATAAAAAAGATTACAGTAGGAAAAATAAAATTGAAATTGAAAGCGATTACTGTAGAGAATGAATGACCTCCGTGAAGACCTTTCCAAAATGAGGGCAAGTCTAGGATCCAAAAGAATTCAGAAAGAATCAGTACTTCGTTGCAACGTTCAAGTTCCAGGATTTTCCAGTATTGCGAAGCCCCCGTTTCATAAGACATAGGACGTCGACGACAACTTCCAGGATCGGTGACTTCAAAGGATCGAGATAGCAGAGCAGAATTAAAGGTGAGGATATTAGCAAAGTTTAAAAATTAACAGACCTTTTTCCGTTTTCCCAAAAAAAAGCATATTTCCTGAGTAAAAATCTAGGAACATTTTCTAGCACGAATTTTTTAAAATTAATGAATGAAAATGTTAAAATGCCAATATTTGAATCTTTTTTTTCCGACCACCAAAATTGAGATATATTGTTATTTTTTCCCTCCTTATAACTCTAAAATTCCAGTTTTCAATAAATTTTAACAGAAGTTCACAAGTTCTGAAAAATTAGCTATTAAAAGAATTTAGAACGCTCGTAAACAGTTGTTTGTTGCACTTCAAGTTTCGAAAATCGGTAATAAAAATGAGGTAACAAAAAAAATTCAATTCAAAAGTTATTTTCGAAATTTCAGCTTTCGGATGTCCTGGAGCAACAAGTCAATATGCTCAAGGAGCATTCGTGATCGGTTCTATGGCAGTTGAAAAGACTTCGTGAACTTGATTGTTTTTTTTTGGGAATCCACTATTTCTATTTTTGTGCGCGCGTTTGTCATCGACATTTGTTTTTCCTCTTCTAATTCTGACTTCTTCGTTGTACTCGTTTTCAGTAGCTCTCAATTTTGAGCGAAATTCAGTCTTCCGCTTTCCGTCTTCCGTGGTTTTTTTCGTTCCGTCTTCCGTTCTATGCCTTCTGAAGAAAAAACTTTTATTTCCGTCTGTTGTCTTCCGTTTTCCAAATAAATGTCCAAAAACGGAAGACTAGAATTTCCGTAGGAATGGATTTATTTTTTCAATTTTTGCGTTTTTAGGTCATCACGCGTACGTTTCGAATACATAATTCATAGAGCTTCTTTCACGTGAAAATAAGTATTTATTTGAGAAAAACGCGTGACCTCGAGCTCAATAATTTTCTCACCTATTTCCACGTATGCCACACGGATGACTCTCCAACTCGATTTTTTTTCACACTCGAAGTTTCATCTACGTCTGAATCTTATCGGCATTCCAATCGACTTCCAACAACAGCCGTTGAGCAGATCGTTCCAGCCAGAAGTTCAGTTTTTGAGTTTGTAGAATTAGGTGTAGACTGAATAGCCCAATTAGCTATTTATCGTTTCATCCAAGTTTATTCTTTTTGAGTAGAGAGCGTATGTGATGATGACAGCAACAGGTAGACTGTAGGGTTCAGTTAATTTCATGGCTGCTTCTAATTGGTACGATACAACTGGCAATATGTGCGTACATTTTCGCAGCAAGTCACATTTCTTGTGCCTTGCTGCGAGCTGAGTCCTGGTTCGGCAGTTGTATTGACACCTTTTTTGATGTAACTTTCAGATTGACATAAGAGCCTGGTCCATCGCGTTTTGCTTCTTTCCTGGCTGTACTGGACTACACTGAGCGAGGATAATAAACGGTAACGAGTTAATGGACTACAACTCACTGTGAGCCTAGAAAATGATTCGTCCTGGTTCATATGCTTGATGATTGGTGACGTATGTGTTGATGTACAACAAGAGGTAGACAAGACCTGGTTGATCTGATGTCTGCATCATGCAGATTCAATGTGACTGGACAATATGTGCGCACATTGTCGTAGCAAGTCACTTTTTTTCTGTGCCTTGCTTCGAGCTGAGTCCTGGTTCTTCAGTTGTAATGAGCCTTGTTTTGTTTTGATGAAGACGTCAGGTTGACGCTACAAGGGTTTGATCAATCTTGTTTGTTGCTTCTTTCCTGGTTCTTCACAAGTTTATGAACAAGGACCATAATCGTCTTCGGGCTGACGAAGGGTTGATTGAGTTTTGAATAGGGACTCATGTTGATCTAATCACTGCTTGGCTCTGGTTTATACTTTTTAAGTAGAGAGCGTATGTGATGATGACAGCGACAGGTAGACTGTAGGGTTCAGTTAATTTGATGGATGCTTCTAATTGGTACGATACAACTGACAATATGATCGTACATTGTCGCAGCAAGTCACGTTTCTTGTGCCTTGCTACGAGCTGAGCCCTGGTTCGGCAGTTGTATTGAGCCTTGTTTTGAAGTAAACGTTGAATTGACAGGAGAGCCTGGTCAATCGCGTTGTTGCTTCTTTCCTGGCTGTACTCATGAACTATGAATAAGAGTTTAAAGTTGGTATTGGATCAGCAAGGGTTAACATCAACCTGACCTACATAGTTATCAGTGTTGATTTGAAATTACGAACACTTACCTGAACTGGCTGAAACATTGGAACATGGAATTCGAGCAGTTGGAGGGAAGAAGATCCATTATGAATCATTTAATCATCTGTATTATTCTCATCTGGTTGGTTAGCCGTTCAGTGGCATTGTTCATTTGGAAAACATTTAATATTGGAAAAAAGATTTCACTGGAATGTTGACCTTAATAAATTTGTTTTTCTTTGCATGGCATGATTACGGTACTGAAAAAACCGCAATTATATCTGAATGTGTTAATTTCTTCGAAATTCGAAAATTTTTCAAAAACTTTTTTACTTCCAAGGAATTCTGAAAAATTAGTTTCAGGAAATTTTGAAAATTCTGAAATTTAGATTGTGAATTTTTAAGTTCTTTCTCAGAATACCAAAAATCTCAAATGCAGAATTTTGAACATCTAAAAATGAATAAAAAGGTATCTGAAAATTTCAAAAATTGCGTTTTTTAAAAATTAAATATTTAAAATTTTAGAACATTTAAACATGTATCTTTATGAATTATTAGAAAATTCGAAAATTTGAATTTCAGCAATTTCGAAGATCTTAAATTCAAATGTTTAGATTTAAGTTTTTTAGAATCCCAATATTCTGAAATTTCGAAAAAATCGGAAGTTTTAGAATATAAAAAAATTTCGAAAATTCTGAAGTTTGAATGTTGAAATCTGACATTCAAAAACGCAGAAATTTCAGATACTGAAAATTTTGAAAAACTGAAAAGCTCGCGATTTTTTTTGAAAACCTGAAATGTTTCTGAAACTTCTATTTTTAATTTTTTTACATAAAAAATCAGAAAAATAGAGATTCAAAAATTTTGAACATTTTTATTTTTGAGAACAAATTTTTCAGAATTTCAGGTTTTTAAAAGAAATTTCAAAAAACTTTTAACATTTACAAAAACGTTAAAATCATTCTTTTTATAACAGAAATTGAAACCAGAGAATCGATTCATAACAGAAATGAGCGGAATTAAAATTTTTTCAACAAGGAAATAAAAATGTGAGTATAGCGAATGTGGAAGAAGAAAAGAAAAAACATCCATTAAAGAGTGATTTTTGTTAACCGGAATGCTTCTTTTAGCTTATTTGCTTTGGTCCCTTTTGATTTATGTGTTCGCATATAACTCATGCTCTGCGTAATCTCGTCGAGAATATTTTTTAATACTAATTCAATCCGAATGATGTTCGAAGCCCGAGAACTAAAGCTGAACACACCAATTCGGTTCCCCAGCTTTCGATTGGCATATGGCCATTTCATACAAATGTTTCAGATCAGCAGATAATTGCATTTAACTTTATATATCACATCTTTCATATTTATGAACGAGAGGTTAATGAACAACAAGCAATAAGTAGATCACAGCCAGACAAAACAAAATAGCTATTAAAAAAATATGGCAAGTTGGAACTGAAATTGTACATATTCGGTGGAAAAATCAAGGGAGCAAATAGAAATATAAAACATACACAATTGGGGGAATTAACAGAAATGATATGAAAGGAACCCATATTACAACAACCGTTTCAAGTGGCACATGGAAAATAAAACTATTACACTCGCGATACTTGCTCCGATGTCAGGAATGTGGCTGTAAAATATTAGATTATGAAAATATTCTAGGAGTCGTTCTTTCAAACCTTCTTTAATAGTTCCCATTCGAGACGAGGAAGAAGTGGCGTGTGATGATCCGGGAAGAATCGTTGGTCGAGATTTGGGTGGAAGACCTCGTGGTGACACGTGGCTTGGTAGTGTAGCAGATCCGCTGGTGACGATGGGCATCGGACGATGGCCAATCACGTGTCCACGGACTGTCTGGTGGTGGTGGTAAGGTCCGGAGACGAAGGCCGAAGGTGCGGCTGCCATGGAGGTAGCGGCGATTGAGGCAATGGTGGAGAGGGAAGAGCCGCCAGAAGAGGCCGGTGACCGCGAACGACGGCGCGGTGATGTTGTAGAGTGTCTGGAAAAGACCGTCTTTTAAAACAAGAATCAGAAGGAATCACCAAATAAAATAGTTTCCCATAGTTCCCAAAAACATACAACAGGCAAACCCTTCTAAAAACTCACCCATGAGGATGTGTCGGTATAACAACAGACAATGATTGTCTTGGAGAAACAGTGACCCCACCGGGAGTTAGATAGAAGGTTGACGATGGGATATTATCAAACCGTCCCTCGGATCCAGATCGTTGCCGACGCCCGTTGTCTAGAAAATAGAAAATAAAGAAGAGAAAGACAGTTATATGGTTAGAAATATTCTGGTCGAAAACGAACACTCTTTAGATTCAAAAGAGCATCCAAGTTAGTAGTTTAAAAATTCAAAATTTGAAACCTGATTAGGAAAATACACGACGAGTTTACAACATCCGGGGGGAGAAGAGAAGTGGTAACAAAAGGAAAGAAGAATGGGTTGGTAGAAGTTGTTTGAACAGGGTGCGCACCGGGATTGAAGACGTGATGGAAGTAGTTGACGAGATGGCGTGGCAAGAAGGAGGTGTTTTAGATGAGAACGTCTGGAAATGCACTACACTCTACACGACAATTTTATACAGAAAAGAAAAAAAACAATGACATTGAAACATTGAGAGATGAAAAAAACGATATATTTGATACCTGACTGATAGTATGTGGTTACTGTAGACGTTTCTTCATTCAACTGGACGGGACCCTGGGCCGGCGTTGATGAAGTGGCTTGTCGACCAGTAACACGAGGCATATTCCGCTGTAGAGAGGATCGTGCTGACGTGGAAGGAGAGGTGACAGGAGGTGGAGCACCTGAAAAGGTGAAACAGACAATGACAGATAGGGGGAGAAGGTGGAGAAGCTGACGACAGAGGAGTCAGAAGAACAGAAACTGTCATATGGAGATCTTATTGCATACCTTTTACTTTCGAATTCTGTACCAGCGCAAGCATTTTCTGCACGGCTTGTGGAGATTCCACGCCAAACTTGGCTCCTCCACCTGCCGATGAAATCGATCCATTTCCATTGAAAAGGAGACGTTGCCGAGAAGACTGATCAGCTGAACCTGTGGATTGAGAGGAAAGAGAAGATGGCGTTGGCGATGGAACACGACGAATGTTGGCAGTAGATGATGATCCCATGCCACGGTGAGCAGCTGAAATGAATTTGGTTCATTACAAAAGGAAATTGATAAAACATACTCTGAACTTGTGGTTCAATGTCATAGCTCATTGCATCCAACTCCATTTCGTTATCCACTACATGTAATCCTTCCAAATAGGATTTCACCTTGCGTACCATTAGAGCTTGCTCATAAACCTTCTTTCTCGGTTGATTTTGTTTCCCACTTATCCCTTTTCTCATTGTTGCAACATTGGAATTCTCGAACGAATTCATGTGAAGGAGAGCGTCAATCACAATACCACCACTCTGAAATATTTGCAAAATTACACTTTTTGAGAGGTATCGACCGTACTCTTTCTGCCATACTCGCAATCTCATAAGGGGCACTACTAAGTTTCATGACTCCTCGAATTGACTTGGCTATCAGTCGAAGTTTCTCGAAATTGACAAGTTTCTCAGAATACGTAGGATTTCCATCATGAGCAAATGTGAGGTCTTTTTTGATCACAGGATAGATTGGAACCACCGGAGGCTCTTGAGCAACTTCAGCAAGATGTTGTCGATATTTTGACATGTTGCGAGATGGATCTACTAGTTGATGAATTTCTTCTAGCATACGAGTGTATTTGCTGAAAATACCCAATTTATAGACTGTTGATGATATTGGAAAATTATCCTACCTGGAAACGCGTTCCCAACTAGAGTGTAACCGTCGAACAGCCGGCTTATCAAGACCACTCATTATAGCAAACATTGAGTTGAAATTTCTCAAATCTCGACAGTATCTCGCCACCTTTATGAACTTTTTGATCAGCTTCGCACGCTTCTGCACATGACGTTCGGAACATATTTCTGTCGCCACCCACCACATCTCCCGATTGAAAAGTTGCTCAAACTCTTCAAGCTTTGGAGAGCCATATCTGAAAATGGAATTTGTATACAAAATTAAAAATTGTCTGACTGTACTTTGAATCCAGTTTGAACAAGTTGTCTATAAATTCAGTCGGTTCGATGGCGGAGAAAACGGAGAAATCTTGAAGCGTCAATTGAGCAGCAATCACTTGAGCATTTAAATTCAAGAGTTGTGTTTGGGCTTCTTTCAGCAATTCTGGAGCAAGCTCGTCGGGTACCAGAGGTTCAGATCGGCTATTACTCTTCAGGTAATATCTGAAAAAAATACACGTTAAGAAATATTAGTAAAAAATAATGACGAACCTTGAATTTAAAGCTATTCTCTCTGCTAAATTCTCCATTTGTGGTGGTAATCGTCTCTGCTTGATAACTCCATCGATAGTTACAGTACACTCGCATAACGACCATTCCGGACTTCCTTCAGCTGTCATATTGAATTCTTGGAGTGCTAGTTGCACAACATTCTGAGCAGACGTCTCTTTATAAACGGGTAGATATTTGAATGTCTGATCGTTTCGATAGATCTTCAGTACATGCTCAGGACATTCACTTCGAACTGGTCCGTAATACTGAGAAATGCTGGTGATGTCTGGATTTGAACGACTCGGCCGAAGATCAGTTGAGGATATCCGTGCTTCATCTGTGAAATCCATAGAATCTTCTTTCGACGATTTGAGAATCGTCATCAATTTTTCCATCATTCCAGATTTACTACTGCTTGTTGACGACTTCTTTCCGGAAATCGAAGTCTTGTGAACAGGAATGACCATAGGTATTCCAGCTGCAGATCGTGCAGTTCCATTCTTCGGTTTGTTGTGCTCAATCTTTCCAATAGTCTCTTTGTACCCAAGTACATTGTTTTTAAGCATCAGCGTCAGGGACAATGACCCAGTCAGAAGATCTTCGGCCTTCTTTCCAGACAAATACTTGGCAGACTGTTGATTGATTTCAAGCATCTCATCCGCTCGTTTAACACCTTCTCTTGCAGCACTCGTCTCCGGATATACTTCAGCAACAAATACAGAGTTACCCGTTTCTTGACCTGATTTAAAAAAATGAAATAAGAAAAAAGGCAACAAAGCTTACCTCCAACTAATCTCATCATCATTCGATCATCTTTCTTCCTAGTCAATACTACTTGTCGAGGTTTTGCTTTTACAGAACATGCAATGTTCAGTAAAGAAAGTTGAGAATGCATTCCGTCTCTTTCTAGTGCACCTTCAAATCTTTCTAATAAGTTCCACATCTCGTCATTCGTCTCGAAATCATTGAAGTGATTGTTGACCCATAGCAAAACAAGACGTGCCACTTTGTCTCTGTACACGGATTCCGCAAACCACAGCATCAGCTTCTCAAAAATCGTTGTTGGATCCCGGATGAAAACTCGATAAGTCAATAAGAAATCGTCGACATAATGAGGATCAACATTGTGTTCACGGTCATCTACCAAATGTTGTATCAGTTTGTCTGGCTTTCCTTTAATCAGCACTTGTCCACTCTGTGATCCAATTGTTCGTTTCTCTATTTCTTGTAAAACTTCTCCAGTTATTCCATCACGATCCTTTTCAATGTGCTCTCCGATCGTCGACATGATAGCGCAGAAATCCCGATGTTCAACCAAAACGAATTCACAGTCATCTACGAGAGTACGCATTTCTCCAACATGATGCTGTGTAGCTGTTGTTGGCTCCGCACCAAAAGAATCTCCTAACTTGTATTCCACTCTTTCTCCATTCGGTCTCACCACTTCTACGCATCCATTCACTATCACTGACCACGAATCTAACGGTTCATTGTGTTTGAGTACTGGTGTTCCAGCATCGTTGACTACCGCGAAAACCATTTTTAGACATAATTGCCGTTTGATAGACATTGGGAGTGCTGCGAATGCAGACATGTGTTGCATAAAATCAAGGAGGACCGCAAGATCTTCGGAGTTTCGTTCGGAAGGTTCTTTTTCAAGACACTCCCTCACGGAATCGCGCAGATCTATGAATCCACCGTTACTGGATTCTTGTGATGGCATGCTTCCCTCTTCTTCATCTGAATCCGCACCTTCGTTTGATGCTGTTTCCCCTTCCGTCGTTGTTGAGGACGCTGTGCTGCGACCTCGCAGTCTTCTAGCAGCAGATATACCATTCTGACCAGGTCCTCCAACTGAGTTACTCTTTTCTCTTCGATGTTTCACTCGGACGAGTGTATCATCATCAGCAGATAGTCCATTGAGATAAACCTGACTTCTATGCTGATCATTATATGATGCAGTAGAAGAAGAAGAGGATGTTGTAGGAATATCGACTGGGAAATCCAATGGATATGTTCTTGGAAGTCCACGTGGAGGCAGAGGAGCGGGACCTTTTGCAGCTGTCGGGGGAAGTCGAAGAGGGCGAGGAGGTACTGGAGGTGGTGGCATTGCAATTGAATCCAGTGACATGTTCGGAGCCTGTAAAATTGACATAGTTCAAAAGAGTTTATGTTTATGAGACAGAATGACAGGGAGCATTTTCAGAGGCAACTGGTGACGCGTTATAAGTGCTTCAACCTACAATTTTGCAAGCTGTAAGTAGAATTACGGGACGATTTTTCGATAACCCCAAGAGCACTAAGAATTCTTGAAGAATACCAGAGAAATGAAATGAAAAATGAGAAATGCCATTGAAAATGAGTCAGAAATGGCAAACATAAATGGAAAAACACAGAGAAAGAAATGAAGAGGAATTGGGAATTAGATGAAAAAGACGAGCGAGAAGGAACGAAAAACTAATGAAACATGGCTTCGCAACACGCAATGGTTTTTGGTATGTTTCTGATATACGGCCAAAGCCAAGGAACTCGATGATTCTTCATATGGAATAAAACCTACCGATTTTCTGGGGGTTTGCTGATGAACTGGCTCTCCAGTAGAAATCACACGTGGATGTGTTCGTGGGGACATTCGATTTGATTGAGATTCCGTCGGATAATCGATCTGAAATTTAAGCTATTCTGATTATGAGAACCCTTGAACTTCGTAGTATACATTTTCCCAAAAGCCTTTTCACACTTCTACATTTTCGGAACAACACATTCGAGTGCCCAGCAGATGTGAAAAGAGATGAAGATGAGGGTCAATCAAATTTGTTCGGAAGGGTGCCACAAGTACGCTTCGCACAACACAAAATGAAGATTCTCCCAAAATTGAATAATCTTTAGCAAGAGTTTCTTTTGGACTTTGAAGTAACACGATCGTTGATTCAGAAATTGAACTAATTTGAATGCGATAATCATTTTAAAATTGTAAGAACAAGCAAGTTATCTAGGAAATTTTAGGAGCGCAGAGACAGATGTCTCCAAACATCTGTTGCAGATTTGAATTAAGAGTTATGATAGAAGACCATGAGATATTGCCCATGAAATATTATTTTGAAAAAAGAACTCGCCACAATCATTTCAGATTCCTGTAACAGCAGGCAATTGTGAGTCCGTCGATGGTTTTGTCCGTTTCGTTTGCCAAAACTGCAATTCAAATGTTCATTGCCTTTTCATGAAAGATCTATTGTTTTTTTAATGTTGTCTCGGTAACGGAAATAAGTAACCCGATACTTTCAAGTCCTATGTACAAAAGAAAAAAAATAAAATCTCGGGTAAAAAAATGCGAGAAGTCAGCAAAAAAAAACACATCAATTCAGAAAAAAGCTAAAGAAAAAGGGTGTTGACCACACAAAATGGACAAAACGGAGGAAGAATGGAAGAATAAGAGAACTCTCTCTCCCGAGGGAAGACGAGAGAAGAACAAGAGGATTTCGAGTGCAAACAGTCTATCCCCGCTTTCCACTTTGCTCTTTTTTCTCCAGCCGTTCATCATCTCTATAAAACGTCCTCACATGATGATTGATATTCATGTCAACAGGAGGAAAGAACATAAAAAAGGAAAAAATGAGATTCGAGAAATAATTCGTCATTCAGAAAGTGTAGAAAGGAAAACGACATATATCATAATCCTTTTAACTCTCGTTTACAATAATGAGATAGCTGTGGAAGAGAAAAGCCGTTGGCCGTGGCCGAATGTCCTACAACGACAACTACCGTAACCTAAAATATTTATATTTTTCGAATTTGTTATCTCGATTCTCACTGCTTTTCGTCGAGTTTTCAGCTATTTTTTCCAAAAAAAAAGAAAAATAGGAATTTTTGATAATGAAAAAATTACAAACGCATGAAAATCAAGACAGGAGAATACAAATATTTTTAAATTATGGATTTGGAAATATCTACAAAAAGCAAGCCAACATATACGATTTCGGAAAATAGAAACAAGACGATATGATAAAAGTGTGTCAATAGTGAGAACATATAAAATCATCATTAGGTGATAATGTCTCTTATCAAATTCTGAGATCTACGTCTACGCCATTCAAATCGCGGGAAATGATTTTAGGACGATAATATTCAAATACGAAAAAATAGAACCAAACGAGAAAAGGAGGAATAGCTAGTCAGATGGCCGCCTAATAGCCCACCTTCGTTTTTCACTACATTTCATATAGAATGGGTTTATATTGAAGGGACCGAATAGAAAATGAGCACGCAAGGACACCGGGTGTTCTTCTGTCGCTGAGCATTCCGAAAGCACATTTTACGACCTAGTACGAAATTATTTTTCTGTGTCGTCGTCGTCACCATCGTCTTCAGAAAAATGATGGGTGAAGAGAAAGGAATATGGAGAATTAAGGAGCGGGGGACCGACACAATCAACAAGGCAATAAAGGAATCGTACTGATTTGCAACTACTAATGATGACTCATTTTATCAAAAAAAAAAATATATTTCTGTTTTAATGAATATTAATGTTTATTTCATAATAATGATACTTACCATCCGTAGGGCATGTAAATCTGGTTTTCAATGAAGACTGATCCAGAGAGCAAAATGTACCAACTTCTTGCCACGTCACCATCTCTGAAAACGATCTGATGATCTATTATTATTTTAAAGGAAGATACTCATGCTCTGTTTGTTTCCGACAAAAAACCTGTATATATTTGGATTTTTCAAACAATTTAGCTTTTGATTTTGTGAAATTTACTTTTATCAGCATAACAAAATTGATTTATTTTCAGGTGTTGAAAAACTAGACTATTTAGGTGAAAACCAACATTTTAAATTTAAATTTGAAACTTTTTCAATTTCCCGGCTGATTAAAATTTTCAGATATTTCGGTCCATTATAAAACACTTTCTACTTTGAAAAACTTACCGAAAGAGAATATACTGTGCGGGGTGTCTTTCATAGCGAGCTGTTTTGCAAAGCGCTTTCAGTGGACCGATAAACAAATTGCTGAAAGTGTCAAGCTGTCGTAGTTGCTCATATACATTACGGATGTCCTATAAAAATATAATCATTTCAGTGTAAAAAAATTATTTATTAGTGACTTGCATGGATTAGTGTCATGCGATTAGTTGGGGAAAAGTTAAAATTACAAAGAAAACTGACATCGGGTGTTCTTAAATGTGGTGGTTTGATTAGCGATTCGTAGAAGCGAGCATCATTTACTGGATCCTGCCTAGGTTTTCGAGGATCCATCTGATTCTCCTGTAAAAATGACAAATTTGTAACATTTAAGAATAACTGGGTCTTTAGATTCATTCAAGTATAACAGAAATCAAGATAAAAATACATATCCGTTATGTCAAAGCCATGTGGTCTCCTACTTTAAAGACATTGAAGAGTGAGAGAAAGAGGACGAGCGTTCAGATAATCTCATAAATAAGCGTGTAATGGGGTGAATGGGGAAGAGGAGGAGCTCGCTTCTCCGTCTTCTTTTGTGTTTATTTATGTGAAAGAAGAAAAGAAGAAGAAGAAGAAGAATATGTATATATTTATCCCCCAAGAGATGGAAGGATTTACAGATTACTTTTAAGATTATAATAATGAAGATACGACATGAAGACATTTAGTGCATAAAACTTTTATAACATTTTCATGATTAAAAATGTGCAATCGGAAGGTTATGAAAGATTGCTTTGCAAAATTTAAACCGGATAAATCGAAATTCAAAAAAATATGCTTGAGAATTTTTTGAGCATTGAGCATTTCAATCAGTGAATTCATATATTTTTGGTTATTTAAAACATAAAGCAGGTTATATTAAAATTTTTGAAACCTGAAAAAAGGAATTTAGACACGCACGTATCAGCGAATTCGGGGCAGAATAAAGTCCAAAAATTGAAATACTGTTATGGAGAAAAATTTCTCTAAACAAATCAAAGTAATCTTCCGACAAGACTAATTCAGCAATTTTTTCGAGTAGACTTTCTATTAATGTATGGCATGACCAAGTACTATCGCCCAACTTGATCAAGAAGCAGGATGGCACTTGCCAATTGGATTATAAAGCGATAATATGCAGTCGCATGCCGATAACATCTAATCACTACACGGGGTCCTTCTAATTGATAATAAACAACATGCAGGCACAACAAGGAGAAGAAAAGGATGCGAAAGTTGTGAAGAGAATCAAAAGTGTGGGGTGATTAAACGGGCGGATAGTGAATGCGGCCACCGCACACACATGCCGGGCATTTGGAGGAATGTGACTAGGAACAACACAGAGGCGAAGAGGACAAGAAACGAATAAGACTGTATGTGTAGGATGCAAGAAATTGGAGAGAAAAAGGAGAGAGGGACGGTGCGGAAAAGTGCCCGAACCTATGCAATTCAATCAATAGATGATGCGGCGGAAACTTAGAGTCTAACGGAGAAGCAAGACGCAGGAAGTGCTACGAAATAGTACACTGATTGGAGAAGGTAAAAGAAGTTGGAAGATGCTCAAAATGGTTTTTTTTCTTCGTTTATAAAAACTTGCGGAACAAAACGTTATCCTCGAAGAACAGGCTGTTGCATAGTAATTTAAAAATAATCACAAAAAAATATGAAAGTCACTGAACTAAATAGTGACATTTTTCCACCTGAGATGCTGGTGCGCCGGTGAAGCGTTTCAGGAATAGCAAAACCTTAAAATGAATTTTTCTGAAAATAAATGAACGAAAGTTTACCACGAAAATTTCCGATTCATGTGTAGAGTTGAACTCAATCTACATTATTCGAGTTTTAGACAGCAACCCTAGTTTTCTGGGCATCGCAATCAGAATGAACTTCGTGGGGCATTATTTTCAGGTATCCCTATATAGAGTGATAATCTTACTTTGTAAGAGCAGAGCATTCTTTTCAAAAAAATCAAAAGCAAGTGTTAAAGAAATTTTCTGCATTTCCGAATTGATTTTAAACTCTGACTGAGCAGGTAAAACAAACTTGGAAGATTATTAACAACACGAACAGAAAAATAGTGCATGTCTACAGTTCTTTTTCCGAAGAAACTAACAACTCATATATTCATGAAAATGAAAAAGTTACATACTCTTAACGCCCAATTGACACGTTCAAAAGGAAACAACATTGTATCGTAAATCCAAAATCCATAAAAGCATGACCAAACTGGCCGGAATACCAGAAGTTACAAGGAATGTGTGAACAACTAGTCTTGTCTGTCTTTGTCTTCGTTCCGACAGAATATCTTATTTCGGAAATCTATATGTGAAGCAGTTACGATGAAAAAGAAGTTATGACTTTTTGAAACATCATTACAGAAGAAAGAAATAGAAAAGAAGGCCTTGGGCAACGAATCTTCTTGTATACATATTTTTGAATACCATTAAAGAACTACTATAGTTCGAGAACCTTTTATAAATTAAATTATGGGGTTATTCATGTAGCGAAACCCTGTATTGAAATGCATTTCGGCGCCCTCGAAATTCAATGCAGGAGTGTCGCGAAATGTATTTCAAAGCATTTACAG